CTGCTCAGCTCATAGGGCTAAGGGTCTTCGGGACCCAGGAGTCCCTTTAAACTTCAGATGCGAGTAACTTTGCTCGACTAGCCGCCCGAAGCAGAAGCAAGCAGGCCCAGCAAGTTGCATACGATGTAATTGAGATGAGGTGGACACATAACATTGCCTCGCAAGCTTATCTACTATTCAGCAGAAGGCACCATGACGGTCGCAACCTTCTGGGCTTTAAGGCAACCCTATATGGGTCCAAATACCTAACTATTTATCATAGACTCTCCAAAATAGTAGCATACCTAACTACTATCCTGAAACCGAGTACCTTATGATTGGGTCCTTCCTTTGGACCCTTAGGCTAAGCTGCTCTTCTTTTCTCGAAGCTGACCTGTGCAGGGCACAGCTTGCGCCGCTGATCAAGCGAGCTTCGGAAGCCTGGCTCAAGAAAGCCTTGGCTTCTTCTTTGATAGAGGGGCCTTGATAATTCGAATAGGGTTCCTTTAAACGGGTCTATAACGGTTACTGTAAGGGATCTATAAGGGTACTTGGTATAGGGGCCTTAATAATTAGAATAGGGTTTTGGTGCCCGTTATACTACATAATTAAAATAAGGAACCCCGCAAATAGTAACTAGTAATTGTTTAGGCCCCTATAGCAGCTGGGTCTGCCTTTCCCGTGATGCTATTGCCACCACCAAGTGCCATTTCATGTGGGCACAAGAATGGCGAGCTACCGCAAAGCCTCTCACCTCCAAAGCAGGAATGCTCGCATGAATCAGCTGATGAAACTGATGAATGCGAGTCCTTGAAGGCTTCGTGATTTGATGGCTCTGTTCGAGAGAGGAAACACCATACCCTTGGCGTGAGCCCGGGAGATGCTCCTGGAGAGTAACCGGCAAGTAAGCCCCAAACTTCGAAGTCTTGGTTACGGTTAGACCTCCTGCATGTGCACCCTGCACGCAAAGTAGTTTCCAACCGCAACTTCCACCACCGCTGCGAAGCATTTCCTGCAGGATGACATCGAGTTTGTTTTCCAGGATGGCTGCGTCGACTGCGACCTACGCAACCCCATCGTGGCCAAGCAGGTGGAGCTCATGAAGCAGCTGGTTCTGAGTTTAAGCTTCACGGAAGAGCTGCCGGGAACGGGCCGAGCGTCAAAACTTGCATCGGGAGTTCTTGGATTATGTAGCGATGTAGCAGATGAAACTCGTGAGAGGATGCTGCCGATGTCCTGTCTTGGTAAACGACTTCGGAATGGCAACTATTCGCCTGTCAAAGCCCCAGCTGTTCAAAGATTGCCAGGGTTTTGTTGAGACGTTTGCATGAACTTTGACGTTGCTTAATATGTCTACATATGACATGTCGCTTGTAGCCCAGTGTTCAAGGCAGTACTTCCCGGAAGAAAAGTGGCTTGGCAGCAATCCGCAGTGAAGGTGGGGGATCGGTATTGCGCGGACTGTTCTGCAGACGCCGTTGTTCGTCTCAGCTGGTGCCATGTACAACGACAACCTCGCACCCCTGTAGAGTACTTATTGTTATGCAAGATGAGCGAAAGTCCTCATGGACAAGTGTCAGATACTTTCCGCATTGCAAGGGAGAGCTGTGACTTCCTCGATGACACAGATAGAGTGTGGCGACCCGAGATTCAGGTTCAAGCAGTGGGCGGAGCCCTTGGGCGAAGAGACGGGCTGGCGACGGCCGCTCAACTTGGTGCTATGGAGTTTTCGGCCCTTGCCTCCGTGGTTCTGTTGGCAGGATCCATAATATGTTCCGCAAGAGCACCTGCGCAAACCCGCCGGCCAGACCAGGTATGGTGGCTGGGAGAGAGCCATCGAGTTTGCTCAGGAGGCGATGACCAAGCATGCTCCCATTGACGGGTTGCCGTGCCGCAATCTTCGAAGGTTAAGGTTTGACAGGGACCTGTGAGGGCACTTCCGGTTTACCGGTGAAGATCCGTCGAACCATAGCATTTGTGGCTTCTTCCGTTCCATGCTGGCACATTTGGCCAGGGAGGAACCTGGCACTTGACCACTTCGCGATGACTTGAGAAGAACGCATACTATCGACAGTTGGATGTATGGAACCGATCTATCGGTTTGTCTGTGCATGCGTCTTTCTCATGGAATGCAATGTATTTAATTTAATGCAGTGCAGTGTAATGCAATGTGATGTGGTACAATGTGCGAAAACATAGCTGTATACATGCAGCAATGTAATCAAGTAAGCCGAAAATTAGGTATATGTCGGTAGATAAAGAAACAGACGGACAGAGACGGACAGACAGACAGATAGGTAGATAGATAGAACAAGAGAAGAAAGAATGGTTGATAGATAGATAGACAGAGGGATGGATACACAAAGACAGATAGATTCAGATGGATAGAGGAGGACCCTGGCTGCTCGTTTCTTCCCAACTTTGGCCGATTTCCTGAGGCTCCTTGGCTTCAGCCAGGGGAGTAACCTCTCGCACCCTTTGGCCGCGCAAGCAGCCCTAGGCGGCCCAGTGGTTCAGAGGGGAGACGTTGGGAGAGGTCGAAGTTCAGGAGCCGTGAAGAATTCTATATCAGTGTTTTTCAGAATCACCTACAACAAACAGGATACCTCAGCTTGCTGTTTTTTGAAAGTTTGTCGGCATCTAGCTCTGAGTTTCGGCACTACAGAAGACTTGGCTGCAGATGTTGAGGACCGTAGTTGCCCTTGAATGTTTGGTTGATGCTTTGTTGTCCTTTGGGATCGCCTTGATCATGAATGGACTTCTCTAAGTATCGCTCTGGGGCAACGTACGATGTCGTCGGAGACCATGAGACAGACCCTGGAGGGCCAAGAGTCAAGAATCGTGCGTCTTGGGCTTATGCAGTATGATTAACATATCCTGCAGGGCTATCCGAAAATGCCAGGCCCGTGGACCACCATCGACTGAGTTCTTAAGCTAGGTCCTAAACTTTGCATCCTGGCAGGTCAGGGTCATCCGCTACACTGCGTAGTACACTTCTGCACGACGAAGCCCGGCTGGGCTGGGCAGACTCCGGACCTTTTCGAGTACCAGATGCTTGGCTGCCAGAGCTGTCCAGTAGCTCAGTAAACTGCTAGTGTTTGTTTCCTCCATCTTGGCTGAGTTCCGATCAGCAAGCCGTTATCTTGGGCACAATGCAGTTGCCGTGAATGTATTGCCTCCTCCCAGCTGATCGGATGCCAGTGGCCCTAGCAGTAGCACATATCGTGTGGCAAGACTTCACCGAACTGCAGGCTACCTTTGCCGGCACTCATCATCGAGGGTAAAGTGGATGAGACAGCCAAAGGCAGCGATGAGGCCCACCGGTTTGCTCGAACATCCGCTGCAGTGGCCGCAATGCTCAAAAGGCCCGAAATGCTGGGCAGGTGGAGTAGGTTTAGGGTTTGGGGAAGGGAGCACGCAACAAGTTCCTGATCGGCTTTTACGATGCCCGCGAGGTAGCTTCGACTTACGAGCATCCTGCCACTTGGCCCAGCAAGCCTACCGATAGCACGATGCCCATAGTGGCTGCGCTGAGTGTTTAGTAATTGTTAAATGCAGGTTTTTTGCATGAGCTGCTGGTCGTGGAGCAACTCTGCGGCATCCCTGGAGCTGGCTGAATCTCTGTTGGGAATGCTCTTGAGGTTCGACTTAGCCACAGCGACGGCTTGGACCCCAGATTCCCAAGTTTGAAGTGCTCTTGTCTTGCTTGACTTAATTCTGCCATGGTCTGCGAAATACTAAACCTCAAGACTTGGAAGCTCTGCAGCAACCAGGCCATCGGCCCTTTCCAAAGAAGCCCGACGAAGCCAAGAAGCTTGCAGAGGACATCCACAGCTTTGCTCGGGCCTTAATGTGCACACGCGTAAGACTACTTAGTATGCAACATGTACTACGAACAACCAATATACATACATATGTATTTACACACGCACACACACTTGATGATGCTGAATTACAGTTTCCAGTTTTGCATGTTGTCCCCTTGATAGCTAATGCTATGCCGGTTCAACCTTTGTTGGCTCATACATATGATATTCAGTATCAGGTCCTGTTGTATTGCGCGTATCTACCATTTCTGCGTAGTCTACTGCATGCTGCTAGTGTGATTGTTTTGTAAGACATGTGTAGTGTCTAGTAGTATTTTTGCAGGTTATATACAAAGGTGGTGCAATCATCGCATATAATTCTTCTAAACATATCTGAAGCCACGCGTATCTACTTGTCTGTTTCCTAGTTCTGAACTTAAGGTCGTCAAGAGCTGCCGTGGAACGCAGCTCTGAGCACGTCTGGTACCAGCTGCAAGCAGTCGATCTTACCGGTATGAACCGTAGCAAGAGAGCATGACAGGCAAGACTCCCGTCCTTTGCAGAACCGCAGCGCTATTGCTTCAGCTGCTGGAAGCGAGTTTGAGTTTTGCTTACCTTTGGTTAGTCGAGACTGGAGGAATGGGGTACAATGATAATTACTATTACTACCATTCCTCCATTCCCTACTAACAAAAGGTAAGTTTAGAGCTGCACGGAAGACGTGTTACCAGCTGCACAGGAACCCGAAGGGTTCAGAAGACAGCCCCCTCCCTGCCCTTCGGAACAGACCCTCAGCTTTTGCTTCGAGAGAGCCAGGGGCGGTAGCCGAGTATGAGTAGCCACGAGCACAGCAGAAGAAGTGAAACAATATGTCTTTGTTGTCGTTATGATTATCATTATCAGTATAATGATGAGTTTTATGAGCATCATTATTATTCCTACTGTTGTCTATCACTATGTGCATTATTCTTGTTACTATTATGAATAATACTACTCCCACTCCTTGGCTCTCAAGTCCCGCGCGATCGCACATCGGGAAAGAGCGACTGTGCCCGGAGTTTGGAGCAGTTCGCAAGCCTGCCGTGCTCTTGGAAGTTTTACCCGGCCTAGAGTTTCGGATCCCTTACAAAGTAGCCCGTATAGTACCCATGTAGTAGCCCTTGTAGTCTCCTTCTAGTAGCCCTTCTAGGGTTTCGGGTAGAATGTAGAAGCGAGGCGCGGCTTTGCCACGGCTGCCACTGTTGCCCGGAGCTCCGGCACCTCGCACGAATTGCTGACATTGGTGTTGCTTAGATCTTGTTGTGACGGTTCAGAGGCCTGTAGAGAAAGGCAGTTCCAAGCAGATTTGACGGGTTTCTCGAAGCTTAGCCTCGTGCGCTACGACAAATGCAGCGGTCAGGGGTGGTGCAGAGAGACGGCCAGGGCAGGATATACTTGTGAGACTTGTTCTCTGGTATCCAAGCCGCCTTTGGAATGTTAAGCCCGACAGGTCGAGTTTGACCTGGGCATGCAGGCTGGAGACTGTTGGCTTTGTTGGCAGCGCCGCGATTTAAACGGCTTAATGGGCATCTGGCTGCCATACAGAAGTGGGCCAGATGTCAGTTGTAGCTTGGGACTGGCGATAGATACGTTGTACTTATATACGGTGTACTTATCACTGCCCGTTCCGATTCACCAAGTTGTCATCATCGAGATCACTATCATGATGATATCCCTTCGCTAGTATTAGTATCATGTCGCGAGTGAGATCATCGCAGCTGCAATCTTCGTAAGCATGGACCTTGAGGATGGCAAGCCCAGCGCAGTCGGCGCGTGTGGCCCTCACCCGCACTGTTGGTAGCGTTTGGGGCATGGGGTTCAGGGTCAAGATTCGGGTCTTGGATTTAAGGGTTGGGCTTAAGTAGGTCTCGCTTTAGTGCGGAAGAGAAGGAAGCAACATGAAATTCCGTCAAATGTCATGCAGACAGATGCGAGACATACAGGTACATATATATATATATATATATATGTATATATATATATGCATACACACATATTTGTGTGTTTTTGTTTTGCGATTCTGGCTGTCAATATACTTCTCTCAATTCGGACATCTTCCGATACCAATAGCCAACACTACGAAGCCTCGAATTGTCCCTATACTTAACTTAAACCCTAAACCTTGAACCCTAGACCCAAACCCTAAACCTTCAACCGTAAGCTCTAAACCTAAGCCCTAATCCTTGAACCGTAAACCCTGAACCGCCTAAACCTGAACCACAAAGCTTGAACCTTAAATCTCGCACACCCCTGTCGACTGTTACCCTCGAGGCGACAGCGACTGGACCTTCACGGCCTTTGCCGTGCTGGTTTCGCTGGCATGTCCGGCCTCCCGTGGAGCACAGGTGTTTACCATAGGACCCTTAATAATTGCCTATACTATCTTGGCTGCTCCTTGTTAAATTGGTAATGTAATGGGCCCAAAACCCTATTCTAATTATTAAGGCCCCTTTAGCAGGGTTTTAATTATTGAGGTTCAGGGTCGAGGGAACATCAGGCCAGGAAGCCAGAGGGCTCGTGAATGAACTACCAGAGACAGGTGGAGACGATTGTGTAGAGTTTAAGCTACGTGCAATTCTTGACCGTGTTGCAAACCCGGTAAGCCAACCACGGAAGCTGGTCTCGGCTCAGTGTGATGAGTTGAAGCTCTTCCCACCTTCCTAATATTAGTATTAATATTAGTATTATCATTAACTAGAACTATTATTCGTATAAGTATGAATGTTGCCACCTTCCGGGATTTCGAGCCGAGGTCTTGCACGCGGCAGGTGGAGCCAGCACCCATCAACTTGAAGGCCACTTCGGCAGTGAGTCCAGAAGTTATTGATACTAATGCTAATACTAATATTACTACTGAGGATCTGATGCCAAAATGCCTTACACCTACTTTTCGTGTGCACCGCTGACCGAGCCGATGCTGGCGAAGAGGGTTTGGCTTCGGCCTTCTCGCAGTTTCCCCAAGAGGCAGAATCTGGTCATTCCTTGGTGGGCTGCTTTGCCGGGCTGGTGACAGGCCGACATGGCATGGGAGGCCTGGACACTTAATCAGCTGATGATGCGGATGCGGTCGGACTGTGCTGCGTTGAGGTGAGGTTCTTAGGTGCAGTGAATTCCGCTAAGGCTTCAAGGCAGGAGTGCAAGGCGAAAACAGCTGACGTCTTCACAGGTGCAGAGTTCGTGGCTTTGAACTTGGCCAAGGCAACCTGCAGCATGAAGCATTGTCTTGCTTCCATATCAGTTTTTTGGGTTGGGGTGAGAGGGATATTCGCTTCCATGGGTTCAAACCAACAATGTATAGCGGATGATCAACGAGTCGGTGTGTGGTGTCATGAATGCAGACAATGAAGACTTTAACCAAGGGCCGCATGTCTTACAGCATCGTTCAGGGAGTATTGTGTCGATGCTCAGCATCCTCAACACCTACAAGAAGCACGATCTCGAAGGCCAAGACGAACTCGTCCCGACCAAGCCCTGCCTTTCGATCATGCAGGGTTGATATTTGGGAGCTCCTTATCTGAAATCGCAAAAAAACGGGGAGTCCTGCAGGTATCGGCTCGATCCATGGGAATCGCAGAACCTGAACCTCGAAACCTGGAAGCCGAAATCCAAGAATGCCAAGCAGCCCCGATCCCCAAAGCATCAAACCTTGGCATTGCTGTAGAAATGCACCCAAGAGACAAGCAAGATAGATAGAGTTCATGATTTTTCGGAGTCTCTGAAACACAACGTAAACATAGTTTTACGTTAAATTAAGCTTTATGAGGTTATATCACATTCTTTTGGACTCTATTCCTGTTCCGGTAAAATCAGCAAACAGACTCTGAAGCCACACGCTATGCAGGACCTCGGCACGAGCTTCCAAGGCCGAGAACAAGGCGGACGACGTGGAGCAAAGGCCTGGCGAAGTGTTGTTTCCTTCGAGCACACACCCTCTGCAGGCTAAACTCAGCATATGGGTGGTTGTCAAAATTATGGTCCCTTTTTGGGTCCCGACTATAGTACGGCACCTACTATTTAGGGTACCCCAAAAGGAACCACAATTTTGACAACCATGCATATAGTTCAATCATGTGGATTCCGAAGTCTGCTCAACTGTTCGCAAAGTCAAGTTGCGCCGCTGAACTTGATCACCGTATTCCACTGCAGTATCGATGACCGTGGTACGAACTAGTTAGCTCGGCTTGATCATGAACATGCATGCACGCGATTTTGGGATGCAAGGCCTAGGATGTGTTGAGGTTTCTGAGGTTGCAGCAAGTCACCTTGGGATGTCAGACGCTTCAGGATGTTCCCTTGAAATCCTCTATCGGCTATTGACCTCGGTGAGATGTGTGCAGCAGAACTTTGCTTTTGGCTTGGCTCCCTCCCTAGTTTGAGACGGTTTAGGCTTTAGGGGTAGGGGTTAGGGTTTAGGGTTCGGCGCTGCCTATGCTACAAGCCACGCACGCGATCCCGGCTGTGGGTCTTTAAAGGTTCAGCAACTAGCTACCCAAGAGCCCACATACCAAATACATATGCAACGACAACCAGAACAACCCCCAACGAACATCCAACAACCAAAACCCAACATCCATCAACCAACAACCAACAACCACCACCACAGCACCACCAACAACAGCAGCGACAACAACTGCAACCACAACAGGAAGTACCGCAACGACACTAACGACAACAACCATGAGAACAAGAGCCAGGGTCAGGGCTGGGCGTTTGCCCGCACTTCCTCCGGTGCATGCTGGCAGTTTTGGGGATCGAATCCTGAAAGAAGCAATCGCATGTTGTTTGGGTCTGTGGTTTAGCACGCGCAGTGTTGCTGAAATCATCGGTATTTACTGTGTTGTGCGTATTTAGAATGTTGAAAAGATAAGTACCGCCTTGCCCGTGCGTGCATTGGCCACAGCATCCATGGCCGAACGATGATTACGTCCGTGTTACCAGTGCGTGCGATTGGCCACAGCATCCATGGCCGAACGATGATTACGTCCGTGTTACCAGTGCGTGCGATTGGCCAGAGCATCCATGGCCGAACGATGATTACGTCCGTGTTAGCAGTGCGTGCGATTGGCCAGAGCATCCATGGCCGAACGATGATTACGTCCGTGTTACCAGTGCGTGCGATTGGCCACAGCATCCATGGCCGAACGATGATTACGTCCGTGTTGCCAGTGCGTGCGATTGGCCAGAGCATCCATGGCCGAACGATGATTACGTCCGTGTTACCAGTGCGTGCGATTGGCCACAGCATCCATGGCCGAACGATGATTACGTCCGTGTTACCAGTGCGTGCGATTGGCCAGAGCATCCATGGCCGAACGATGATTACGTCCGTGTTAGCAGTGCGTGCGATTGGCCAGAGCATCCATGGCCGAACGATGATTACGTCCGTGTTACCAGTGCGTGCGATTGGCCACAGCATCCATGGCCGAACGATGATTGCGTCCGTGTTTCCAGTGTGTGCGATTGGCCAGAGCATCCATGGCCGAAAGATGATTACGTCCGTGTTAAAAAATCTCCCTGCCAACCCCGTAAAAATGAGATTTGGGCCGCGCTTTTCAGCATCTCCGAATAGAGACATCTTCCTGCAAAAGAACAACCACTCCTCAAGTCCAAACCTACAAAAACCTCGGTTTTTCTCGAGTAAGCTAGGCCTTCCTCTCCTGTGGTATGCTTGCTCCATGCTCCCCAACCTGGCGTGTACTCCCCAAACCTTCTGCAAGGAACTTCCAAGTTTCATATCCAACAAAACCCTAGTCCAAACCTCGGAAAACCTGTGTTTTTCGAGCAAAACACACATTTCCCCAAATACACGCGGGCAAACGCCCGTCCATCTTAGCCAAGAGCCAGCACCACACAACCACAACCACGACAACAACAACAACAATACTCATCATTGAATCATCGTCATCATCAGCAGCATCATCATCATACTACTACTAACCTTACTGGTTTAATAACGAAAAATGGCCACTATACTAACACAGATAAAAACAGTAATAACAGCAGCACCGATTATGGTATTGTTGGCTAATTACTGCGTATTGATGACAACAGTAGTCATTATCGTCGTTGGCTCTTCATGTGGTCGTACGACTATGAACACAAATACTTACAAATGGTTGTATTAATGAGATCAAGAAGAAGCAGCAGAGCAATGATGGTCAGCAACAACAATAAGAGTATAAACAGCAAAAGTAAATCGGAGTCATCACCAGCATGACATCATCATCGTAGCGGTTCTAATCAATGTGATAATACTACTACATCCTGTTTGTAGTATGCTTCTTATAGAACAGTTGTAGATGTAGAAGTAATGCGCAGAGATGCAAAGACCCGCACCGGGAAAGCGCTTCACGAGCAGATGCTGCATGGCTACCGAAGATGACTGCTGCTGCCAGATCTCATCAACAAGTCTGGGTGGATAGATGCATGATGGCATCAGCGCGCCGTAACACATAGTGCCATAGTAAGCTGGATCATGCATGTGTTCACTTCTTGTTTCCTGCTGTCTGTCGTCTCTTTGCTCGAGGCAGCTATGCTTGCAGGGTTCCAAAGGACCCAGCACGGCTTCCTGCAGTATGTGCCGCCCTTGGGCCTTGGCACATGCACAGATGTACTAATCCGGCGAATCCGGTGCCCTCTCGGGCCGGGCTGAAAGCCAGAGAACGCAGGCCCAGCGGTTGAGCGACAATTCTGCGAAGCTCTGGCTGTCAGCAGAAACGAGTGTCCGGCACTCAGCAGAGCATGTGCACCATAGCACGGCCATTACCTTCCAGATCCTTTCGGCATCTGTTCGGAGCAGTTTCTACCGCAGCGCTCGTCGTGCGCAGGTGGCTCATTTTGTGTTGAAGAAGTGTTTTCGTGCGTTCATGACTTGTCAGCTGGTTCGATTTCCTTGTTCCTATGCTTCCTCTCGGAATAAGGCCTGCTGCGTGTTGGTATTCGGTCCCGACAAGAACGGCACGTTCGGAGCCAAGGGATGCTTCTCGAAGGTTTATCCATCGTTTTTGAAGTCCTTGTCTGAGCATCTTCAGAGAATTGGATCCTACTGGGTCCTAGTGTGTCGTAGAGTCGAGAGGGTCTCCAGGGTTCCCTCAGACGTCAAGTAGCCAATTGTTTTCGTTCATTGGTAAGTCAGCCAGGCCACCTGCCGGCTGTCTTCCTCGTCTAGTGGCTCAGTGAGGTAGCCCTGGCAATCGTGTTAGCGTCAGCCGACGGCTTCTCTCGCTGATTCTATGGTGGCTAATACAATCGTCAGTTCATTCGGTCTCGTTCTTTCCTAGAAATGCTGTCATTGGTACCGCAACTCTTGCTGTACCTGTCGCTCCCATCAGCACTACGATGTTGATGACGATTGCGCTGTCACAGTTCTCACAACACAGGGACCCTTAGGGGGTAGGGGACTATACTTCCTTAAATAGGCAATATTAGGTCCTTCTTCTGGGCATTAAATCCCCCTATCCCCCCTCCCTTCCCCCCTCAGGGTCCCTGGGATCACAAGATAAATAGGATAACCCCACTTAGGAGACTTATAACCCCCATTATAACCTACTTACTAAGTCCCATGATCCTTTAAGCAGGGAACTCTGCCCTGGCTTCCGCCTCCAGGGCTGCAGCGGTGCTCGGCGACGCCGGGTCCGGCGGCCGGGGGCTGGTCGTGGCTCGGGTCGGGGCCCCAGAATATACATATATATATATATATATATATATATATCGCTTTCGCTTTCTGGGCAATGAGTTCGGGTCGAACGCAGCCGTTGGGATGCACCTAATTACATTCAAAAGCCTGGCGCAGAAATCTGGCTGAGGCATGTAAACCGTGCCAGTATGCACTCAAGCATGTCAGAGCGGGTAGAGTGAGATGTAGCCGACCAGCCCTTTGGACCGAAAAGTCGTCTCACCTATGACCCGCCAAACCCGAACAAAACGGGAAAATTAAACTCCCAAAAGTCAAAACCCTAACAAGCAAACCAGCAGCTGTACAAAAAACTCTGAGTTGTTCCTCCTGGGGCCAGGGAGGCAATCATCAGAGCAACACTACCCCTTACAAAGTGCAGGATCGGCCTCAAGGAAACAGTCCCTGCACGAATCTACCGGTAACTCAAACAAAGCTCTGCGCCTATTCCTCCGGGGGCGGGGGGAGGCAAACAGCAAAGCTACACCCCACACGATTATCAAATGAACCGTGCCCGCTCAAGACATACATGCATGCACAGTGACAGCGTGTATACAAGCACGCATGCCGAGCACATATAACGCATCAAGCAAGTAAGATCTTAGCAAAAGCTGCTAGGTTGCAGGCATCCACCGGATCATCGAGCTACAGCTGCTGCAAGAGCAAGGACCCGGCCTGGTACACGAAGGCACCGATGGAGCCGATGGCTACGACACTGCCGCACTCTTCGTCTAAACTTGGCCTCAAGATCCAAGGTGATCGTCTTACCCGTTAAGGTTTTGACAAGGATCTGCATGCCGCCTCGCAAACGCGGCGCCAAGTGAAGGGTCGATTCATTCTGGATGTAGTAACCCGGGAGAGTACGGCCATCCTCTAACTCCGACTGCTTGCCAGTAAGGATATCCTGGAACGTAGCCTTGACAGTGTCGAACGTGCCACTGGCCTCAACGTCCAAAGTGACCGTCGTACCCGTCAAGGTCTCGACAAAAATCTGCATGCCGTCTCGCAAACGCGGCGCCAAGTGAAGGGTCGATTCATTCTGGATGTAGTAACCCGGGAGAGTACGGCCATCCTCTAACTCCGACTGCTTGCCAGCAAGGATATCCTGGAACGTAGCCTTGACAGTGTCGAACGTGCCACTGGCCTCAACGTCCAAAGTGACCGTCGTACCCGTCAAGGTCTCGACAAAAATCTGCATGCCGCCTCGCAGACGCAGCGCCAAGCGGAGGGTCGATTCATTCTGGATGTTGTAACCCGGGAGAGTACGGCCATCCTCTAACTCCAAATGCTTGCCAGCAAGGATCAGATACTGCTGGTCGGGCGGGACACCTTCCTTCTCCTGGAACGTAGCCTTGACGTTGTCGAACGTGCTACTGGCCTCAACGTCCAACGTATTCGTCTTGCCTGTCAGGGTCTTGACAAAGAACTGCATGCCGCCTCACAAGCGCGGCACCAAGGCGTGCCCTCCATGGGCACTGGGGCTAACGATATTCCGCGCTGTTGCGGCCATTCGAGCCCTATATATATATGTATATGTATATATATATATATATATATATATATATATATATATATATATATATATATATATATATATATATATATTATATATATATATATATATATCAGAGGTGTTCCCGTTGAGGGCTCTGCAGGGACGCTGGGAGGCTGCGGCTTCGGGTTTTCAAGCCTGAGAGCGCAGCTTCGAAGCTGGGAGCTATGAAAGGAACTCTGTAAGCCAAGCGCAAGCCCCTCGATCCATCTCACAAGCCAGCTAGCATGCCCCCTAAAGCCTCTGAGAGATGAGCCAAAGTGGACCTACTTGAGTCCACTGAGGACGGCCAAATCACTTCACGTCTAGGCCGCATCCTCGGAGAGGACGTGATGGTTGTCCGTGGGCACTGTCATCCGTTCTCCGATTGCGAGGTTTGCTAAAGCTCAGCCGAAGTGCCTCCGGAATTGTTCTGCGATCGGTTAGCAAGGAGTCCTGGGTGGTGTGGGCGAGAAGTCCAGGGATGAATTTCAGATCTGGTGATTGCAGGGCTTCCCAAGTCCTGCTACTAGTGAGGAGTGTAAGACGTCGCCGCTGCTGTTGCAGCGCGCCCACACTATCCTAGGTTCACGGCACGTGGAAATCTCGTGCGGACTCCGGGTGCCGCCCTAGCCCGTTGCCGCTTGTCTCGTCCAAGGCGCTGGAGGGCCTGGCGGTGAGGAGAAGCCTGCACAGGAGCAGTGAACTTTCGGTCACACGGCGGAGAAGTTGTCATTGCTCACTCTCTGCATTCGCCAAGAGCACGACAACGAGGCCTCACGGCTGAGCATTGCGGAAAAAATGAAGCCTAAAGCCTAAAGTGATGGTTCCAGGACAGCTTGAAGGTCTTCGAGCACGGCCTGAAAGGCGGGGGTCTTTTGCTTCGTTTTTTACAGGACTTTCGAGTCGCTTGGGGCTCCAGGCATAATGCGTGTGTTGGTCGTTTCAGCTGCGAATGGCATCCAAGGTCCGTCCATCAACTTCCCCGCCATGCCAGGGGCCCGTGGGCCGGGATCTTAGCCTGAATTCACTGAAGCCCTAAACCCCAAAAGAGTCACCGAGTTTGCTCGGGATACCTCAGACCTGAGACGTTCCCATGACTGGCGAGGCCTGCGCCTAAAGGCTTCGGCACGCATGCCTACAGCGAAAAGGCCGCGATTCTTCCCGCTTCTTGCACCTCAAGCCTTCAGACTGCAGGCCTGAGCATCTAGATACAAGCTTGTTCCATGATTCCGTGTCTTAGAATGTGCACGGAAAGAGTAGCTCTCTTGTTGCCGCTATCTAGTCACAAAATCAACGTCGAAGCATCGAGTCTGTCCTTCCTGGTTCCTAGTCGGTGTTGTTTCAGTTGCCAAGCCACCCTGGCCTGGAAGAGACCTTAACCCTGAGCACCAGAGTATCCGGCTGCCGAGATGGTCCTTGACTCTCCGTGGATCTGGTTTGTTCTATGCTCTTTGCGTGTTTTCTGGGAGTTGTATTCGCCGGGCAGCTCCGGCAGAAGAGCTGACTGCATGGGAACAGCGGTTCCAGAACAACACTCATAGTGCACAAACTCAACGATACGACATCTCGCGCGAGCAGAGCTGAGAAGTGGAACCCGAACCGCATGCCAGGGTGGGTTGGCGGCTGGACTGGCGGTGACATTGGATGTCTGTCAGCTGGACCACTGGGTTGGTATACGGTTTAGGGTTCGGGTTGGGTCCCCGCCGTAGATCGACAGGGTTCATGTGGTGCCTGGAAAGCTGTTCCTGCTATCGCGCGCTGCAGTGCGAGGACTGGGCAAACGATGCTCTGATCATACTGGCATCCGACTCCTTCTGGGCGATTGCAGAGGAGGAGAAGGTGTCGTTCTGCAGTGGAAGCATACATATTTTTGTTTATTCTGTGAACCTTTGTTTGCATCAGTGTGTACGTATGCATGTGCTCGTGATTGTCTGTATGTGTTTACCCATGTATGTATGTAGGTATGTATGTATGTATGTATGTATGTGTATACATGCCAGGTGCATGCGCATGCAGGCAGGTCCTGTACAGGGTGACCTTTACAGACAGCAATACAGTTCTAGGTGGCTCCATTTGCCCCACAGGCTGCCAAGTCCGCCCTGGCAGCTGTTGTCGCGCGTGGGCCCTGTGGTGGTTTTGGCATCTAGCCCGGTTTGGCAGAAACTGCTTGGCACTGAAATCCTAAACCCTAAACCCCTAAACCCTTGCTTGGGAGTCAAAGGGTGTATTGCACTTTAACGACCCCAATCCCTTAAACCCTAAACCCGCGTCTTGCCGATATTTTGCCAGCCTGAACAAGGCATCAATCTCCGGAACAGGCGCTGATGCAGGCCGCCCGGCACCCCATGCTTCAGCCAAGAGCCCCTGTTCGTCTAGAAAGCACCACGGCCGATGGTTTCGGACCACCTGCAGGATGTTCAGGCCATGCGGCGTGGTGCCAAAGCAGATGCCTGGAGCTAAGTATGCTTGGAGTACTGGATTCTCAGAACTCACTCATGCCTGTACTCCTAGCGAAGCTGCTTCCTGAGTTCTGTGAAATTGATCGCTGTGCATGGGCGAACTGATCTGGCTAGACAAGAGAAGACAGTGGTGGGGGCTTAAATACTTACAAATACTATTTTGGGGGGTTCCTTGTTATAACAAAAGTATAACATACCACAAAACCCTTTCTACTCATTATGGCCCCTATGTTATAATAGTACCCTTATAGACCCCTTTAAAGGAAGCCTAATCTTGTTATTAAGGCCCCTATATCATCTTCAACACTGCTGATTCCTGAACTCCTTGGCCTGATCCCTGAGCGGAGAACTCTGAAACCCGGCCCTGGCCACCTGAGCTTCCGAAAATTAGGCGTACCTTACTTTGGGGTCCTTATAATAAGGATCCTACTCTTTTTTGGTACTATATGAGGATGCCCGATTTATCGGAAACTCCCATGTTTGTTTTGGGGTCCTTATAACTTATACTCCTACTATTGGCGGTACTACATTAGGGTCGCCCATTTGTCGGAAACTCCCATGTGGGTGACGAGGATCTGGCGGTAACTGTCCTGCGCTTCACCTGGGTGGACCTCGCTGATGGTGGCAAGACAAGTGATGAGGCTCCTGCACGGTTTAGGGTTTAGGGTTTAGCTAGTCAAACGCACCTATACAAGAAGGTCGTTTTCCAGACTGGATCTATGTAAAGGCTTCGCAAGGTTTTGGGCACAAGATATCGGACATGAAGGGGTTTTCTAACCTATGTTTCCATCCTGGAGCATGCAGCCCCATTGCTCAACCGCAGTACGCAGTACGACAGTTAACATCTATAGTGGAAAGATTCAGCAGTCACAGATTGACCGCTGTGCCGGGAGCGCTTGGCTTGGACAGTTTAGTGAGTGGCAGCGCAGACCACAGGCCTCCGCAATCGGTACAGATTTGTCGTTGTTGTCTTGCGGTCCCCATCAATACTGTAGTTCCAGTACAGCAAAGGTTACATATAGTGTAGTAGAAAGCCCAAGTGCGACATGGACGCTCCAGCTGCAGCGGGAGGTCAGGCAGAAGGCGAGAAAAACGTGGGTGTCTCCGAGGACTTGAAATCGCGGCTGGGGTCTTCGGCAGACGCCCCGCTCTTGGCCTTGTTGGAGAAGCTGGGTTCTTGTTAAGGAATTTAGTTGAAGTTACAACAATGAAGAAACCATATCATTTACTATAGATCCCCATTATTCTGGTAACTTACATGAAATCCTTGAAGAAGAGCCCAGGAAGTGGGGCATCACCTCCCTGAAGCAGCTGTCCTGGACGAGCCCGGAGCGCTTGGGCAAAGCCATCGATTCCCTTCCCTTCGGCTCCGGTGGGCCTTCCGAAGGGCATCTGGCGGATCTTCGGGCCTTGAATGTGGAGCTTTGGGAGGCTCGGAGGGCGGGGGAAGAGAAGGCTCCTGCTCCGAAGAATCCGAAGCGGCTGGGTGTCTTGGAGGCCGCTGCTGGCTTCAAGACCATATCTATAGCCTCTCGCTCCACGGTGGATGAAGAAGCAACCCGTGTGGACCTTGAGGCTCGCAAAGCAGCGCTGCTCATGATGGGCGATAACGGCCGCTTGCTGCGGGAGAAGCTGCACCAGCATTTCCAAAGCGTCAGCACCCATGCCTTCTCCACGATGCTCTCGCATTTGCCTATTCACTGTCTGAGTTTGGCGAAGGAGCAGGCTCGCCACGAATCGTGGTCCCATCTCTTGACGGATGACGTCCTTCACACCTCTCTCCTGCGTCAAGATTGGTCCATCCGATCGGCGTTCATGAGCGGCCACATTCCACCGACGAATCTGGTGCCAATCTATGGGGCCGAGGACGGGATGCTCCGCACGTCGCTCCTCACTGAGAGAAGCCTGTCCTGCACGGAGCAGTCGCATCCTCGAGTCGAGCCACTGCACGACAATGCGCCTATGGCCACCTTGCGGATGCCCGCTGAACCAGGCAGCTCCTCTTTGATGCCGAACCTCCGTGGCTTCAAGCTGGTCTTCGACCTGTTTACGAAGGGCATCTTGCGAGGTGTCTTCGACCTTCCACAAACACCCGGGCAGAAACTCTTCGTTGCCGGCGGGGCCGTGCTCGCGTGTGCACAACTTTGGCAGCACCCGAAGTTACAGCCCTTGTACAAAATCGTGGCTTCGGAGGTAGCCTGCTTCTTGTTGCTCAAGAAGCTGCGCATTGGCCAATCACCTCAGGTCCTGCAGAACATCATGGAGTTCTTAGCAGCAGGCGAGGATGCCATAGATGCGGCCAGCACGCCTGCAGATCAGCTTTGGCTGCCGGGAGGAAGTACGGGCAACAAGGAGTCATGGGGCTTTGCGTCCTCCGACATTGACGTATTTATCTGCTGCGAGACGGAAGACGAAGGCAAGCAGTTGCTTAGGCAGACGGTTCATACCATCTGCAAGAACATCACGGAGATGCGCAGGAAGCAAGTGGAGAAGAGAGCCAGGCGACGGCACCGGCCAGATTACCAACTCGGGGTAAACAGCTCAGGCTACTCTCGGGACATCCGCCTGCTGCGATCAGCCAACGCCCTGAGCATTTGGGGAGGATGGCCGTTTCGAACTGTGCAGGTCATGGTCATTCTCTACAAGCGGATGGACGAGGTTCTGAATTTCTTCGACCTGGATTGCATCAGCATGGGCTTCGATGGTCAGAACATTCTTGCTTTGCCAAGGACACTTCGTTCTCTTCAGACGGGCTCTCAGTTGCCAAAGAACGACTCGCCCATAGCTTTTCCCAATAAGCCTCAGCCTCAGGGGTCAAATGCAGCACAACGGCAGAAGTAGCAGCAGCAACGGTGTCCGATCAAGACACAGGGAATCAGCTGCTGTGAGTCCTGCACCATGGTTCCATGCACTACTGTAACAGCATCGCTGGGATCTAATCTCTAAAATGACCACGTCCCGACTTGAAGATTTATCATTAAAGGCCATGTTGGCCATGTCATGTGGGCCATGTTGCGACCAAGGACAGGATACAACTTCGTGGAGCCAGCGAAACTGCGCAGATGGTCTACGGGACCACGGATTGTAAAGTACAAGAGCCGGGGCTTTGGCACGGTCTTCTTCGAGATCTGCAAGCATCACCCTCGCTGCGATCTGCCCAGTACCTTGGACGAGGAGACCGCTCGGCGCATTGCAGCATTGAATGGCTTCGTATCCGCCAGCCAGGATCTTGGCTATGGTGAGGTGGAGCTACCCTTTGTGCAGCGCATGCTCCTAGGGATGCACTTGGACCAGTACATGGAGCAGCACGAGGATCGGAGGAAGTCGATTCGGCAAAGCATCGACCTCCAGTCCAAGGGCCTTTGGAATCTCCCGGACAGCGACTTGGTGGCCGGCAAGTACCGCTACATCTCAGGAGATGAGTCCGCCTCGGAAAGCTCCATCGAAACCCTTCTGAATGTAAACATGGAGAGGGACGGGCTCCCGGGCCTTCGCTGGAAGAACGTGGACCTTTGGGAGAGTCGCCGCGGGAACGAGTTCTTACCTCGCTGCTACATGTGCCGCGAGCGCATCGATCCCTCGGCGACCCTGGCAGAACGACCCCGGCTCTGTGGTGCCTGCGAGGCTCTGAGCCGCCAGAAGCTGGCGCAAGAAGCCGACCTCACCGGAAAGAAGGCGATCGTGACCGGAGGCCGCGTGAACATCGGTTACGCGACGGCCCTGAAGCTGCTTCGCATGGGCTGCGAGGTAGCCGTGACCACTCGCTTTCCAAGGGACTGCCTGAGACGATACAGCCAAGAGAAAGACTCTAGCTCCTGGCTGCCGCGACTCTGGGTATATGGGGCCGACTTTCGGAATGTGCCGACGGTCGCTCAATTGGGAAAGCATCTTGCCAAGACTTTTCCGAAGCTGGATATCCTCATCAACAATGCTGCTCAAACTGTGAAGCGTCCGGCTGCTCACTACAAGTCTCTCATCGAGGCACGTCATGTATGTGGCATAGGGGGTCCCCACGACCCTCAACACTAAGCCTTTGCTCTGAGCCCGAAGATCCACTATGGACTACATAAATGAAGCTTGCTATGGCTCGCCGCAGAACAGCAGCATTGTTCAACATGCCGGTTCTTGTCGTATGCACTTTTTGCAGCACACACAGAGTGCACTTGAGGAGAACTGCTAGTTGTCCATTTATCGACACATCCTGATTGAATCATGCTGGGTTACAGGACTCATTGCCTGGTGTCGACTGCCTGTGTTAGTGTGTCTACCAGTGCATCGGCTCTGTCCCATATGCATGCATTCGTAAATCTGTTCCTTTTATGTATGTCTGCATGCATGCAATGCTGCATAGATGCATGCAGGCGTGCATGTACACACGTTTGTGGGTATGAACGTGTGCATGTCTCTGCCGGCGTGTGTTTGTGCCTGTGTTCATGTGCGGGTGTATGTATGTATGCATATACGTATGTATGTATGTCTGCATGTGTATAAATGTATGCCGTAGAGCTGGCAGTGTAGCGAAGCGCATGTAGCGTAGTGGTATCTATCTACCTACCTACCTACCTACCTACCTATCCAATCTCTTCCTCTACCTCTCTCCATACATTTGTACAGATATAGCTATATCTATATGTATGTGTATTTATAGATATACACGCAAATGTAAACATCCGACAGAGGAATGCATGCCGGTGAGGCAGAGCAGACACCCTTGGACGCCCAGCTCGAGGGCCGGCTACGGCAGTTGTCGAGCGGCACGCCCGACCTGAAGTACCTCATCGAGGGCGAGGCCACAGAAACCGCACCGGCTCAGGTCTCCGATGTTCAGCTGCCAGTCCCGGAGTCAAAGGATCTGCGGGCAGAGACCAGCTGGACTGCGAAGATTGGTGAGGTGGGAGATGCCAAACGAACGGGGGGTGGGGGGAGGGGGGGGGCTCTGATCATCGGAAATCGGCAAATCGAGGTTTCATGGGTGGAGAGCGTGGAGGTGCAAGTGATCAACGTCACGGCACCGTTTGTGCTGCTGAGCGAGCTCAAGTCTTCCTTGCTGCCGAAGGAGGCCTCTCACCTTCTTCCGGCCTTTCGGGTTTATAAACCCTAACCCCTATATGGGTAGTTGACAAAGTGATGGTCCCTTTTTGGGTACCCTAAATATTACGTGCCGTATTATGAGAAGGACCCAAAAAGGGACCATAATGTTGACAACCACCCATATTGTAAGGTTTAGGGCTATGTTGGTTCTAGCTTCTCGGTACGAGCTGGCTTCCGAGGTTGGAGGTGCAACCTGTAACGCTCCTTAGAGCACTCCGAAACCCAAACCCCGCTCGTGCCGATACAAGCATAATAAAACTGTAAATCGCTCCTCTAGCCGAGCCTGCGAACACATGGTTCATTCTAGCAAGCTGCACTCGCTTTTTTTTGCATGACCTGGCTGTTCAGCTTGAGCAAGACTCAGACGGATACTCAGACCAGGCCGACAACTAGAATGCAAGTAAGCCAATGCTGGACAACCTTTTGAGACATTTCCGTTCCCTGCTGATCGCGTGTTTCTTGATGCAAGCTGCTGAAGGTAGACACCGAGACGAAGGAGAGCCAGAACCCAAATTCTCGCCGTCGCCCGCTTGTGCTAGACCACCCACGCGACCTTCTGAGCACGGCGGACAACCCTCGTGATAGGTTGCCAACAAGTGCCCTTCGAGGTTACATGCATGTGGGATCACACATTCTGGAAAAGCGTCGGCAACTGATAAAGGATGTTCGCTTCGTAGTGAATGTCTCCTCGCAAGAGGGGTCTTTCCGAGCACTCGGATCCAAAGGCGCCAATCATCCCCACACCAACATGGCCAAAGCCTCGCTGAACATGATGACTTGCTCTGTCGCTGACGAATTCAGCCGTGCCGGCGTGGCCGTCGTCTCGGTGGACACCGGCTGGATTTCAAGGACCCCCTCCAACAGATCCCCAAGTGAAGCAACAGCGGTATGTAGTAGTGAATGTAGTGAAGTTTGAGTAGAAAAGCATTGCAGCAAATACTTCAATCCTAGCCGTAGAAGCACCATGCAGCACTCCAAGTACCCTCCATCTCCAGGCCTGGCAGCCTCGACCCAAGCCCGGAACACCTTAATCACACCATCTAATGACAATGTTTATAGTGTATGTGTACATATATGTACAACAGACATAGATACTTCCTTGGAGTAAGCCTATATAGATATATATATATATATATATATATACATACACAATCACGTGTGATGTAGATAAAGATATTCACGCTCTGCACTGCAGCAAAAGCCTCGTCACCTTAAATCCCTTCAGCTGCATCAAAGCTTGACCCCTAAGTCCTAAACCCTAAACCAAGACCCCTTCGAACCCATCTCGAGGATGAAGCCCGAGCCGCTGGCGGAGGCCGAGCCGCATGTGCAGAGTGCGCCGCCCCTCAGCGCCGAGGAGTGACAGGGCTGTGAGGTTCACTGTGATTTGGGGGTTCGGCTGTTCGGGTGATTTTGGGGTTAAAGATTTAAGGTTTGGGATTTAATGTGATTTTCGGAAGGTTCAGGCTTTCTTGTCTAGGGTTTAGGGATGTTTAGGGTGATTTTCAGGTTTTGGCTGCTTCCTTGATTTTACGAAAACATCCTCAGCAGCGGGTCTTGGTTTTGTTACAGTCCTGGCGTGAAGAACATTGTGGTTGAAAGTCAAACATGACCCAGGAATCGACCGGGGAACATACAGTAATGAGAGATTGAATGGAAGAGTCTCAGCCTGCACGCGTTGCAACAGGGCACTTCACACAGTGCGGCAGGAGTGTCCAAGAACCAAAGGTGTCCTGTTGATGGTTGGCTACTATAGGGGCCTAAATAATCACCAATACTATGGTTAGGATTCCTTATTATAATTATAGTATAATGGGCCCCGAAACCCTATTCTAATTACTAAGGCCCCTACATTATCGTTTTTGTCCCTTCGGGTCGAGTTTATTGAGGCACAAAGGCCTCGGTTTAAGCCTGGAGGTCTTCAGAGGGTTGAGAGGCAAGGCAGCTTTGGGTTCCGGAGGGCCCTGATATAGTACCCTAAATAGTAGGATCCTTATTAAATAAGGTACCCCTAATTTCTGGGGCTTAAAAGCCTTGTGAAGAGGATGGAGCAGCTCGCGTTCTGGACCCAGTCATCTCTACGATGAATCTTGGGGGCGCTGTTGAAAATGAGTTCCTGTTGTGTGTTACAGCAGGCACTAAGCCTAAGTACCTCATAAGCAATCATCTAACATAGTGCAACATCACACGAAACGACAGTTAAACCGGCATGCATGAGTTGTGTGTCTTTTCCATGCTCATCCCGGTCCTCCTCGTCCCCGGCCGCGCCCGCGACGCCGTCATCAAGAGCCAGTCACTGACCAACAAGATGCCGACAGGGACAAGGATATGCGAAACACAAATGGAGCTGGCAGCATGCGAAGGCCAACACAGTACGGCGAGTCGCGGCCAGATGCATGGAAACAGTAGGCATGTGTACATGGAACGTCGTCTATGACATGTCATGCATGCATGCATGCAGTCATGTATGGATGTAAGGTTGTAAGGATGTATGTATGTGTGTATGCACGTATGGATGCACATATGCATGTATATGTATGCATGCATGTATGTATTTCTGTATGTGTCTGTGTAAATGCGTGTATGCATGTACATATGTATATAGGTATGCTTTTATAATATGCATGTATATATACTCATTCTGCAAAGAGAAAATGTTCAGGAGAGGATGTTGTCATCAGATCGCGTTGTGACCCCATGATAAACTCCGGAGTTCGTAAAATGGCAAAGGAATGGCCAGCAGCCAGTCACCGGCTGCTTGCTGAGAAACTTCCAACCGGTCGACTGGTAGCCGATTGCTGGCCCGGTCTGCTGTGTCGTATGGTGTTTGCTCCAAAGCTTCACTTTGTGGCCGGCGACAACCTCGGACCTGCATTTTAATATGGTTCCTAGCCTCTCAATTTTGGCCTTATGCCGCACTCTTAGTGGGAATTTAAGCGCGGATATTCGGCGCTTTATGGTATCCCGGGGGTAAGCTCCGCGGCCGCAAAAAGTGTCCGAAATTCCGATGTGTCAGAGCACCTGTGAGCCTCCGGCAGCTTGCCTTCCATGCATGGAAATTCCCAAGCTCTCATCTCGCAGATTCGCATGACAGGTCATCCCCCGCCCAGCCAAGCGGAGGCGGAAGAACGCAAAGCCAAGAGTGGTCCAGGAGACGTTCGTTTCAGGCTTTAGAGTGCCAGCGGTGCACAACCCATACTGTAGCATTCCACACGGTGACTTCTATTACCTTTACATATATATATATATATATATATATAGTAATAATAATAATAATAATAATAATAATAATAATAATAATAATAATAATAATAATAATAATATCAATAATAAATATAATAAGAAGAATAATACTAACAATATATTATTCTACATAATATTTTTCAAAATATTAATATCAAGAGTAATATTAATAATAAGTAACCCCTTAAACTCTATTCTCCCTACCCTTCGGCCATCCTGTGGCTTCTCCTGTAGGACGCGGATTTAGTATGATCGCCGTAGCACTTGGGATTCATATTTATAGAATTCTAATAAGAAAATCACCCAAAAAGGAACCACTATGGGGGGGGGCATGATCCTAAACCCTAAACCCCCTAAACCCTATAGATCCCTTTAAAGGAACATTATAAGCCCCTAAACCCCCTAAACCCCCAAACGACCCAAACCCCTAACCCCTAAACCCTATGCGACCCAAACCCCTAAACCCTTTAAAGAACCCTATACACCCCTATGATCCCTGAACCCCTAGACCCGCTAAACCCCCTTTAAACCCTAAACCCCCAAAATGTGGGTTGATGGTGAATCCCCCGGCAGGCCCACACCACCCCTCAGCCGAATCGGCATTCCAACTAACTTCGGGCATCGGAAAAGAGGGCTCAAAAAAAAACAACAAAACCCCTAAACCCTAAACGACCCCAAACCCCTAAACCCTATGGATCCCTTTAAAGGAACCCTATAAGCCCCTTTAAAGGAACCCTATAGATCCCTTTAAAGGAACCCTATAAGCCCCCTATGATCGCTGTAGCACAGGAGGTCGACGACATCTTCGCGCAGCCCGGGGATGGCGAGGCCGTCGGATGACAGCGGGGGTTTCGTATATAGAATCCTATAAGGTAACCCAAAAAGGAACTACTTTGGGGCCTATGGGTAATACTTTGAATAGGGTTTGGGGGGTTCCTTATTATTAGTATTATTAATTCTATGATTGTTATTCATGTTTATCATTCTTATTGTTAATGTTCTTATTGTTATATATATATATGTAATTATGGCTGCGGCTGCTACTCCGTTCGACGCAGGGCCAGGACGCGTCCGAAGAGGAGGAAGAGGAAGAGGAAGCGGAAGAGGATGAATCGGAAGAGGCCTTGTCTGTGACATGGGATCGTGTTGTGACGTTTAAATGTAGGCGTGTATATTCTCCCAAAGCTGCATCTTTTCTGGCGAAGCATGATTTCTGCATTGTACCGGGATACCAAGTCACAGCGGTACACCGCATCACTCCTTGCAGCTTTTGCTGGCAGGAGGCCAGAGCTGCCGCTCTGCCGACCGAGTGCATTCGTGTGGGATCCGGTGAGCTGGAGGAGGTCCGGAAGTTTATTAGTATTAGTATTATTATGATTGTTATCATTTATTCTTATTATTCTTATTGTTATTGTTATTATTGATATATATATATATATATATATATACTGGATGTTCCTTGCTTTGCACTTTGCGTGTGGATCCATGTAACATCATGCTCCCTCTCTGATCCGAGTCCTCTCTGGCTCTGATGTAGGTCGCAAGCGAGCGAGCGACGGATCCACAACCTGCAGCAGAGGCAGGGGTGCCAGCTTCCAGCCCCAGCGCTTCGGTTTGTGGTGGAAAAGGGCGCTTAAGCAGACTGAAGCAGACTGTGCATATGCAAAGCAATCTGCAACGAGGACTCAGCTGAAGAAAAGCCTTACAGTAACGTGAAGCTCTCTCTAAAGACCCGGAAGCCCTGAAACCTCAATGCCCAGGAACAAGCCCCAGGACCCGAAGCACTCCTGAAGCCGTAGGGCATCAGAGCACCCCCAAGAGGACGAGAGCGCATCCCATGTGGACGCTGCACCAGTGCCCAGTGAGGCGGACCGGGTTGTGAGTTCAAGCTATACATATACTCACATGCGTATGTGTCTATACATATATATATATATGTAACATCGAAACATCTGATGATACATATATACATATATAATTGTAAAATAAGAGTAGGTTTGAGTAGCAACCAAATCATAACTATGTCGTAGAATGCATGATCACGAGTTGAGGCTCCCCGTGATATTTGTAACTCCAGAGTTTGGGCGGGGCGGCGGGCGGGGGGGGCGCTTTGAGGGTTTCAGGGTGTGCTGTTCCACGTGAGGCTTGGGTTTGGCAAAGGTAGTAGCGCAGCAAGAGAACCCTCACAGGTTCATGTCTGCCCTGGACACACCAGCTATTTTGAAGTGTTGCGAGATCTCGGGGTCCCGGTGCCGATCTTCGTGTTAGTGTTTGATCTTGCGAGGAACTCCTGGATCGGGATGCCTGCACGCATCTGGCTAAAACTCCTGAAGGATTTTGCAATATTTGACTTAAAAAGCCCACTACCATGTGGTTGGAAGGGTTGTGCGAGTAGAAGCCGTGTGGCTCGAGCATTTCTAAGCCCTTTCGAGTTGAAGACCTCTCTTGCATCTCATGCCAAGGTTCAGCCGCACTCAGACTCAAGGAAGGCATGCATCTAATGTGAGGGTACTTCGCAAAACCGGACTCAGCTGGCATCTTGAGCGGCTGCTTGGGAGACTAGACGGTGCGAGCGCGGACAGCGTGTCGAGCTATGGGGAAGCGTGGTGCAAGCTCACAGGCTGAGGCTTGACAAGGGCCGTGGCATCAAGGTGAAAGGTTTCATGCCCGATCCCACGGTCCATCGATGGACCATATGGCGGTTTCCGAAAATTTTGGGGTCCTTACAAAAGGATCCTACTATTTAGGGTACTATATCAGGGTCCCCTAGTTTCGGACACCCCCATATGATTCCGTTGACTGCCTCTAGCAACTATCTATCCGCATTCCTGGCGCAGCAGGCTTCGCCGGCGACCGTCCGTCGCAGAGTCCTCCAGAAAAGCGCGCCTGAGAGCAGTGCGCAGGCGCCGGAAAGCCCCACGACCTTTGCACCTGTAGCTGCTGCCCGGCTAATGCTAGCGACTGCGAAATGGCTCCACGCCTCAATGCAAAGTTGTTTGCCATGCGACAGGGCCTGCTGGCTTCGCTTGACAGTGTCTTGGATAAACGAGGAAGCACGTCGCTGTTGATGGGCTTGCGACATACATCGGTACTGCGAGAACTGTTGAGTTACATGTTGATCCTGAAGCTCAGGATATAGCCTTGACACCGACCCAGCTGGCAATGTGTGCCTGGACTGCAGCCATTTTCCCTCTCGTTTGACCTTCCTTGGGGTTCCTACGCGCTCTAAGTTACTCCAGGTGCCAAACATCGCCAGTCGAGAAGGAGCCAGTCGAGCGAAAGGGGAAGGCTAAAAGCAAATTGCCTGAGGAGAAGGAGAATGTGCTTTCAAGCGCCAGTGCCACGAAGAAAGCAGATGCAAAGGCCGGAGTTGCGGTAGCATTCATCAGTGCCCACAGATGTCATAATGGCAATAACAAGTAATGAGAATAGTAATAGTAAATACTAACAGGGCCTACCACCAGTTCACCTTGCAGGCGAAGGCCAAGGCAAAGTCCAAGGCTTCACAGTTCGCTCCGGAAAGAGCCGACGACGAGGCATCATGTTCTGATTCGTGTGCAAGAAGATATCTCTATCAGCATCGTCCTGCCTGCTGTCCTCTGTCACGACAACACCGATATCACGATGTGGAGGTCAGGGCTGTTTGTTGCATGAGTCTGTTTTGCATGAGTACAGACCTTGAGCAGGAGCCTCGGAAGGATGTCAGCGGGACCGCTTCACCAACGCATGCCATTTCACTATTCAGCTTGCGCGGCGAGTGTTTAGCTGGGCATGCACTGTGCGTACAGTCGTCATGTCTTTCGCGGCAGTGCTCGAGACTTGTCTGATCGGTTGCTTGCACTTTCATACTGCGGCTGGTGCGCTGCTGGTTTGGGTTGAAGTGAGAGTAATAAGTTTCTGCTTCGTTGACAGCGAGACACATCTCGGAAACTACCATGTCGTATTCCAGGTTACGATCCGCATCAAGTCTGTAGCGGAAGAGTTCACCGAAGTTTGAATGAAGCAAACCTCTCCACCTGGCCCAGAGACAGGAAGGAGTGCAGGGGGGCTGCTCCTTCGACCGGCGTGCCTCTATTGCAGCTGAAGGATTGTGAGTCTTCTTGAAGGGCCGAAGGCCGTCAATGCTCATGTGAACGTCTGCGTGATCGCAAATCTGCCTCTGCCAAGAACAAATCCTGTGCAGTTGCTTCAGTTTCATGGTGCTACTACTACTACTACTGCTACTACTACTACTACCACTACTAGTCAGAACTGAGGCATCAAAGGGAGACGCCGATCTGAGCAAGTTGAACCGGCAGTTTGAAGCCGCCCTAGCAAAACTGGATGACCTGGCTTGCACCAACCGAGCCCGCATGATGCCTGCGTTTTGAAGAGGAAAATCCGAAGAGACGATCCATTAAGTCTCCCTTAGTCCCACCACTTTCAAGATACAGCGGTTTAGGGTTTAGAGTTTAGGACAGGCCTTCCCTACATTCTACCGTCGGCAGTCCGCAGTAGTGGGCTTTCGTCAACACTCTGTGTAGACGTTGAACTTCCATGCTGGGTTCGGTGGATGTCCCAAGCAGCTTGGAAGGTCACTCACGATGCGTGGAGAGCTCAGACGCGCTTCGGTGATGAGTCGTCAACCCCAGATATGAAAAGGACAAGGGCAACACACCTATACAATACATTACGATTCTCTTCCACATCGATGTTATGCCGCATCGTGTCTTCTGGTTCTCAAGCTGGGAGATTCAACCGAGGATGGACGACATCTTTTCGGAGTTCTGTACTGAGATTGAGAAGCTGCATTGACGAAAAGATGGTCACCACCATTATGAGAATACGTGTTTCGTGTTTGCAGTGCAGCATAGAATCATGAAGATTGAAATTATGTTTGAGCTCCTTATGGAAGCAACCTTTCCAACCTACACGTTTGGGCAATTGCTAGCAGATGGGAGAAGTATTCTGTCTTTCTAGCTATATCTTCGTCATTTTTGGTCTG